GGCAAATTTGCAACTTTGCTATATGGTAAGGTAAATATCCTGATGTAAGCCGAACTTAATTAAATTTGGTTTGCGACCCAATTTCTGAAGTGATAATGTTACTTCAAATGTAATAATACAGTGATATTGTGGCCAACGAGAATCAAATAAGAAAAACTAAAACTTCTCATGCCTTAAGTTTAGTAGCTGAAGTTATCCGGAATCAATATGAAGATGTCAATGGTTCAATTTCCAATGTAAAGAAAGTATTTCTTAAAGCTCATTTGAGGATCCAAGCCTTCCGGAAAGCTTTACCGGATTGTCTATTGCCTCCAGAACCTGTTCTGACAAGTTGAGGGAACGGACGAAAAACAAAGACGTTTATCAAATAGAAAACGGGAAAATTGTAAGTATAGATTATTAATGTAGAACAGTTTAAATGGGAAGACTAGTTGTGAAATTAATTCCATAAATGGAATATATTGTAGATTTCATGCCAAAAGCAGTGTCATATTCTTCAACATGAAAATATTGTCATATAACTACAAAACAAATCTTACTAAAGATACCAGGCAAACTTTAATTTCCTTATTTGATGAAGACCTTAAGAAAATTTTTACTATGAATTATCCATTGCTGAAGAAACTTAACGACAAAATATTGCACCTTCTACCTTCTAAGAAAATAGAGGATGGACGGGCAGATCTAATATTTGCCAAGATAAGACTGATTTTGGCAAATGACATACCTTCTAAGAAAATAGAGGGCGAGTGGGGGGGTGGTATTTGCTAAGATAAGACAGATTTTGGCAAAAACATACCTTCCACGAAAATAGAGGGTGGGTGGGCGGGGCTAATACTTGCTAAGATAAAAATGATTTTGGCAAATGACATACTATCTAAGAATGATAGATTATTAATGTTAATTTGTTTAATGATACCAACTTCATTGTCAAAGGCTTCTCGGATTTACTGGAATGTGGAATAATCTAAAGATTAAGGAATTAAATCCTGCGAATTTATGAGGTGAGGGGTGAAAAGAAGGCCAAGGTATGATGGTATCAGTCTAAAAATGAAATGGAATTATTATTTTCTAATTCGTATGTGAATTTTATTGAATGATGAATTGAATTGATAAAATTTAGAAAATAGTTAAGATCATCAAGAGAACCTTGAAAGAAGTAGACATATTAATGTTATCTATGTAATGGTCCCAGAATTTAATTTTGTTTGTAAATTGAAGATTTTTGTGTTTATATTGTTTACAAAAATTGATAAACTAACATCAATCTGTTGTAAACTTTCACACCACTTTTTCAAAAAGACCAATTTTTGTATACTAAGGTCACTTTAAATACATATTAATAATATTTTACAACTTTACTCAAAGAACCCTATCCGCAAAACTCTAAAACCATAAATTATACAGGTACGACTGCCAAAGACGGTCTGATTGGGGAACACAGGAAATTGTGAAGGCACGCGACATGGCTTATAAGTTTACAAGGACCCTAATGTGAAAAACCGATTCGGTATTGTGACCCAAATAATCGTAATTATATCATAAAATTTTATTAGTATGTTTTTAAAGTGATCTTAGAATTCAGGCTAATAGAACAACACATGTTAGGTTGTCATTTGATATATTTCCAACCGAGAACAAACAAAAAGCTTTTTCAAATTTAGAGACATGGTCACTGATTGTATGTGTGATTTTTGAAACGTCAATATATAAGTCCCTATGAATAATTCAATTCCTCGATTTTTCAAATTTTCAATTCCTCAATTTTCAATTTTTCGATGTTTCAGTTTTGAAATTTTCCATTTTTCAGTTTCTTGATTTTCAAATTTTCGATTTCTCGATTGTTTTGTTTTTCAATTTCAGTTTGACGACTTTTCAATCTTACAAGTTTTCAATTTTTGGCGATTCCAAATTTCCGGCTTTTCGATTTATTAATTTTTGAGTTTTTCAATTCTTCAATTTTGTGATTTTTCAGTTAGGTATACATTTGATTTTTCAATTCTCCGATTTTATAATTTTCGATTTTTCGATTTCTCAATTTTTTAATTTTTCGATTTCTCGGTTTTTTCATGTTTCCATTTCGAGATTTTTCAGTTTTTCAATTTTGCAATTTTTCTTTGATTGTTCAACTTTTCAAGTTATCGATTTATTAATTTTCAGTACTTTAGTTTAAGGATTTATCAATATTTCGGTTCTTCAATTTTTTAATTTCTCAATTTGGTTTACAGACTTTCTACATTTCCGATTTTTTAGTTCGTCGATTTGTGTATTTTTCAATTTTTCAAAGTTTTATATTTTCGATTTTTCAAATTTTAAATTTCTCGATTTCTCGGCTTTTCGACGTTTCGATGTCTCGATTTTTTGATTTTTTTAATTTATCAATTCTTCAATTTTTCGATTTTTCATTTATTTGATTTTTCAAATTTCCAATTTTTTTAATTTTCGATTTTTCGATTTTTTTTTTTGGATTTCACAGTTTTTTGATGTTTCATTTTCCAGATTTTTCAATTCTTCAAGTCCTCAATTTTTTTTGGTTTTTTGATTTTTCAAGTTACTGATTTGTTAATTTTTCAATATTTTAAGTCAAGGATATTTCAGTATTTCCATTCTTCAACTTTTTGATTTCTCGTTTTGATTTACAGATTTTCTAGAGTTTCGAACTTTTAAATTTTAGGTTTTTAATTTTCTCGATGTTTCGATATTTGAATTTTTCAATTTTTTAGATTTTGGATTTTTCGATTTCCCGAATTTTCGATTTTTTAGTTTGTCTTTTTGTCTATTTTTCAATTTTTGGAAGTTTTGAATTTTAGATTTTTCAAGCTTTTGAACTTTCGATTTTTACTTTTCAGTTTTAGATTTTCCAATTTTTAGATTTCTCAATTTTGTGTTGTATCAGTTTTGAGAATTTTTCAATATTTTAGTTTAAGGATTTTTCAATATTTCCATTCTTCAGTCATGTCAAATTACAGACTTTCTACATTTTCGATTTGTCTATTGTTCAATTTTCCGAAGTTTTAATTTTTAGATTCTTCAAGTTTTTGTTATTTCGTTTTATCGGTCTTTCGATTTTCACTTTTCAATTTTAGATTTTTCGGTTTTTTAATTTTTAGATTTTTCTACTTTTAGATTTCTTGATTTTCCCATTTCTCGATTTCTCGGTTTTTCAACGTTTCGTCTTCTCGATTTTTTTATTTTTTAGTTTTCCAATTTCGAGATTTTTCAGTTTTTCAATTCCTTAATTTTTCTTTTATTTTTCGAAGTTTCAAATTATAGATTCTTCAAATTATTGATATTTTTCGGTTTTTCAATTTTTTGATTTCAAAAATTTTTGATTTTTCGACTTTTAGATTTCTTGATTTTCCCATTTTTTGTTTTCTCGACTTTTCGATGTTTCGAATTCTGGTTTTATCGATTTTTTGAATTTCCAAGTGTTTGATTTCTTATCTACTATCTATTCTACATTTTCGATTTTTCGACTTTTTAAAGTATAGATTTTTCGATATTTTGATGGTTTGATTTCTGAATTTTTCAATTTTTCGGGCATTCAATTTTGCGATATTTTGATTTTTCGATTTTTTAGATTTCAGATTTCTCGATTTTTCAGTTCGTTGATTGTTTGATTTTCAATTTCTCGAAGTTTTAAATTTTAGATTTTTCAAAATTTTGATATTTCGATTTATTGGTCTTTCGATTTTTAAAATTTCTGATTTTTCGACTTTTAGATTTCTTGATTTCTCGACTTTTCGATGTTTTAATTGGATTATCAGTTTTCCATTCCTTCAATTTTTGGGTTTTTCAGCTGTTTGATTTTTCAGTTTTTCGATTTCTCAATTTTGCATTGTTTCAGTTTAAAAAATTTTCAATATTTCAATTTTTTAATTTTTCGTCTTTTCGTTTTTCAGATTTCTCGATTTATCAAATTTTTGATTTCTCAATATTTCAACATTTCAATTTTGGGAAGTTTTTGATATTTTAAATTAGATTAATTTTTTAAATTGTACATTTTTTTATTTTTTCATGTTTTGATTGCTCAATCTTTCAATGTTTTGGCTTTTCGGTATTAAGTTTAATTAATTCTATTAATTGTTATTGGAAAAAGAATATTTTTTTCGAATTGATTTAAATTAATTTCGACTTGCATTAGTGTTCAAATTGCATCTTAGTAACGTCACTCATATTGGTTATATTTATCAATGCACGGATGCAAAGTTGCATTAACATAGTTGCACAATTAGGGCAAATTTGCAACTTTGCTATATGGTAAGGTAAATATCCTGATGTAAGCCGAACTTAATTAAATTTGGTTTGCGACCCAATTTCTGAAGTGATAATGTTACTTCAAATATAATAATACAGGGATATTGTGGCCAAGCATAGGCAACCCACTTTACGTTTCATAAACACTGAAATTTCTAATTTTAAATATTCTCCTTTAGCATCGTGTGATCTTGAGAGATCCTTCTCTAGGTATAAAAATGTTCTAACAGGCAAAAAAAATTGTGCCGAAAATTTGGAAAAATATCTAATTTGTTATGTAAATTTTAACGAGGATTAGAATCGCTAATTATGTAAAATAATAAAAGAAAACCAGACGTTGCCTAAAATTTATTTTTCCTAAAACTTTTTTTCGTTTTTGCTTACGCTTAAAATGCTTATAGTGTTATTACATATTCATAAATGGCGCAGTCGGTGGTATATGCATGCTTTATTATTAACACCGCACTCATCCCTCAAAAAGTTTAATTAAAAAACTAACTTAAAGCAATCAGTCCCTTTCCGGCCACCTCGCAATCCTCCTGTCGCTGCAATAAATTGAATTTTCCGACAGAAAGCAATAGGGAGGAAATACATCTCCGAGAGGTCCCGCCGAGGCGTCGTAGCCCACAATCTCAGGAAATTATGTACAATTGAAAAAAATTAAACCGACACATGTTTCCCGTCGCACAAAAGAAGGCCAAAGGCTATCTACGAGGTTAGATGGATAGCAACTCGCCACTTACTTACGACCCTTAACGTTATTTGCGGATCCGATAATCGTATGTCGTACAAAAGAGGCAACACTTCGTCGATGATTTGGCTTTTGTCGAGCCGATCCAGGGTGCGCTCCACGCACGACAGCACGTTGGAGACGATCTTCAGGTCCGACTGGTTCTTCTCGTAGATGATCTTGGTTTTCGGCAGAATCATTCGTCTGATTGCGGTTTCGTCTAAGTATTCGGATACGTTTGTCACTGCCACGAGGGCGGCACTCTGCAAGGGTAACAAATGGGGTTAGTTTTTCACCTAGGGGTGAAAAATGGGGTGCGGAGAGGTTGCGTTTTTTCAATTCTTACCATAGTCGTCAATTCCTAGTTTTAGTGTTTATCAGTGATGTCAAACACGTAATTAAAAAGTGCGTGTTATCAATTTGTCATTGTTTAGTTGGTGGTTTTCGTTTGTGTAAAACAACAATGCTGTTCCCATTTATTAACTTTGCTGATTGTGTCTCAGCGTTTAATCAAATAAATGATAAAGCGAGTTTTGCATCGATGGTTTTGCGCAATCGAAATATGTTTGTTTTGTGAAGTCAAAATAAGCTTCATATTTAATTAATTTAATGTTTGAATACTCCCTGCGAGTAATTTTTCAAATTAATTTCCAACAGATATTGTTTATGAAGTAATAAAAAATAACGAGATGTCTGACTTGTTGGCTTTGCTTTTGTGGTTTACAATTTTAGAATCTTTTGCTTTATTCTCGTTATTTATTCAGCGTCTTTGATTATTTGTTATAATTAAATCGGCGAAATCGGTTTTCACTTCGTTAATTATGTGATGAAGGGGATTTGAGGACTGAGGCAGCCCTACGACATCTCCTTTAAAATATGACAAAAGCTGAGAACCCATATCATACACACGAGCTTAATTAATTTATGTAATTATTGCATGCACCCTAAGCATTTCCATCAGTTATTCTGATTTCCATAACTAATTACTTTTGATGTATGTGTGTATTCTGTTTCGCACAAAAGCGCTGGTTTTTGGGCAATAAAACAACACTAATAATCATTTTGTGACTGTTAAGATTAAAGTAAATGATTTTTAAGCTAAGAATCTAGAATTTTCGAAGCTTCAGTTTTGAGATTTTCAATTTTTCGATTTTCCGATACGGATTTCAGTTTTACGACTTCTTAATTTTTCAAGTTTTTACATTTTGACGTTTCTAAACTTCTGATTTCTCGATTTTCCGATTTTTTGAGTTTTAGGTTTGTTGATTTTTCTAGTTCTCGATTTCTCGGCTTTTCGACGTTTCGGCTTCTCGATTTATTGATTTTTTAGTTTTTCACTTCTTCAATTCCTTAATTTTTCAGTTTCGAGATTTTTCAATTTTTCAATTCAATAATTTTCCTTTGATTTTTCAATATTTCAAGTTACCGATTTGTCCATTTTTCAATATTTTGATTATTTATTAGATTTTTGCATTTTTGATGGTTTGATTTCTGAATTTTTAAATTTTTCGAGCTTTTACGATATTATAATTTTTCGATTTTTTAAATTTTAGATATTTCAAATTTTTGATATTTCGATTTATCAGTCTTTCGCTTTTTACTTTTCAGTTTTAGATTTTTCGGTACTTCAATTTTTCGTTTTATAAAATTTTCGGTTTTTCGACTTTTATATTTCTTGATTTTCACATTTCTCGATTTTTCAAATAAATATTTTTTAACTTCCCTTTTTTAAATTTTCGATTTTTCGATTTCTCAGTTTTTTGATGGTTCATTTTCCAGATTTTTCAATTTTTCAATACCTCAATTTTTCTTTAATATTCCAGTTTTTCAAGTTATTGATTTGTTCATTGAATATTTTGGGTTAAGGATTTTTCAATATTTCCATTCTTCAACTTTTTGATTTCTTGTTTTGATTTACTTTCTACATTTTAGGTGTTTAAATTTTTTCGAGCAGTCAATAATGCGATAATTTAATTTTTTTTAGATTTTTGATTTTTCAGTTTCTAGAATTTCGTCGATTTGTCTATTTTTAAATTTTTCGATTTTTCGAATTTTAGATTTCTTGGTTTTCTCATTTCTCGATTTCTCGACTTTTCGACGTTTCGACTTCTCGTTTTATCGATTTTTCAGTTTTACATTTCTTCAATTTTTGATTTTTCAGTTATTTGAGTTTTCAATTTTCCAATTATTAAACTTTTCTATTTTTCGATGTTTTTCTAATTTCTCAGTTTTTTGATATTTCAATTTCGAGATTTTTCAATTCCTCAATTTTTCTTTGATTTTTCGATTTCTCAAGTTATCAATTTGTTAATATTCAATATTTTTGTTAAAGGATTTTTCAATATTTCTATTCATTAATTTTTTGAGATCTCGTTTTGATTTATAGACTTTTTACATTTTCGATTTTTTGATGTTTCGATTTCTGGATTTTTTAATTTTGGAGCCTTCAATTTCAATTCGATTTTTTTAGATTTTAGATTTTTGATTTCTTGAATTTTCAATTTTTCAGTGCCTCGATTTTCCAATTTTTCCAACTTTGAAATTTTAGATTTTTCAAAATTTTGATATTTCAATTTATCGGTGAAAGAATTGGAGGATGAGGGGATGAGAGAATGAAAGGATGAGCGGATGAGAGAGTGAGAGGATGAGAGAATGAGAGGATGAGAGGCGAAAGGACGACAGAATGAGAGGACGAGAGGACAAGAGGACGAAACTACAGAAAGGACAGAAAGGATAGGAAGGAGAAAAAAAGTTGGAAAAAATAGAAAGGATAGACACGATAGAAAATATATAAAGTGTAATAATTAGAAAAAGAATAAAAAAGACAAACAGGTAGAATAGGGCGAACAGGATGAAAAGGACGAACAGGATGAACAGGACGAAAAGGACGAAAAGGGCGAAAAACGAAAGGACGAAAGGATAGACAGGGTATAAAGGATAGAAAGGATAGACAGGGTAGAAAGTATAAAAAGGATAAAAAGGATAAAAAGGATAAAAAGGATAAAAAGGATAAAAAGGATAAAAAGGATAAAAAGGATAAAAAGGATAAAAAGGATAAAAAGGATAAAAAGGATAAAAAGGATAAAAAGGATAAAAAGGATAAAAAGGATAAAAAGGATAAAAAGGATAAAAAGGATAAAAAGGATAAAAAGGATAAAAAGGATAAAAAGGATAAAAGGATAAAAAGGATAAAAAGGATAAAAAGGATAAAAAGGATAAAAAGGATAAAAAGGATAAAAAGGATAAAAAGGATAAAAAGGATAAAAAGGATAAAAAGGATAAAAAGGATAAAAAGGATAAAAAGGATAAAAAGGATAAAAAGCATAAGAAGGATAAAAAGGATAAAAAGGACGAAAAGGACGAAAAGGACCAATAGGTGGTAAAGGATTAAAAGGACTAAAAGGATTAAAAGGACTAAAAAGGCGAAAAGGACGAAAAGGACGAAAAGAATGTAAAGAATGAAAAGGACGAAAAGGACGAAAAGGACGGAAAAGGACGAAAAAGGACGGAAAAGGGTGGAAAAGGACGAAACCCACGAAAAGGACGAAAAGGACGAAAATGATGCAAAGGATCAATAGGACGTAAAGGACGAAAAAGACTAAATGGACGAAAAGAACCGAAAAAGGCGGAAAAGGACGGAAAAGGACGAAAAGCATGAAAAGGACGAAAGTTTAGACAGGGTATAAAGGATAGAAAGGACAAAAAGGATAAAAAGAATAAAAAGAATCAAAAGGATAAAAAGAACGAAACGGACGAATAGGACGAAAAGGACGAAAGCGACGAAAAGACGAAAAGGACAGAAACGAAGAAAAGGACGAAAGGGACGAAAGGGACGAAAAGAACGGAAAATGACGGAAAAGGATAGATCAGGACGAAAAGGACGGAAAAAGACGGAAAAGGGTGGAAAAGGACGAAAACCACGAAAAGGACGAAAAGGACGAATACGAAGGAAAGGGCGAAAAGGACGAGGACTAAAATGACGAAAAGGACCAAGAGGACGTAAAGGACGAAAAGGACCGAGAGGACGTAAAGGACGAAAAGGACTAAAAAGACGAAAAGGACGAGAGCGACGAAAAGGACGGAAAGGACGGAAAAGGACGAAAAGGGAAAAGGACTAAAAACATGAAAGGGACGAAAATGACGAAAAAGGACGGAGGAGGGGGGAGGAGGAGGGTGGAGGAGGGAAGAGGAGGAGGGAGGAGGAGGGAGGAGGGAGGAGGAGGGAGCAGGATGGAGGGAGAAGGATGGAGGGGGAGGATGGAGGGAGGAGGATGGAGGGAGGATGGAGGGAGGAGGATGGAGGGAGGATGAAGGGAGGAGAATGGAGGGAGGAGGAGGAGGATGGATGGAGGAGGACTGAGGAGGAGGACTGAGGAGGAGGACCGATCAGGAGGGGTGAGGAGGAGGACGAAAAAGGAAGAGGACGAAATGGACGAAAAGAACGAAAAGGACTAAAAGGACTAAAAGGACGAAAAGGACGAAAAGGACGAAAAGAATAAAAAGAATGAAAAGAATGAAAAGGACGAAAAGGACGAAAAGGACGAAAAGGACGGAAAAGGACGAAAAGGATGGATCAGGACGAAAAGGACAGAAAAGGTCGAAAAAGGACGGAAAAGGGTGGAAAAGGACGAAACCCACGAAAAGGACGAAAAGGACGAAAGCGACGAAAAGGACGGAAAGGACGGAAAAGGACGAAAAGGGAAAAGGACTAAAAGCACGAAAAGGACTAAGAGGACGAAAGGGGGAAAGGATGAAAAGGATGAAAAAGACAAAATGGACGAAAAGGACGAAAAGTACGAAAAGGACCAAAAGGACTAAAAGCACGAAAAGGACGAAAAGGACGAAAAGGACGAAAAGGGGAAAGGATGAAAAGGACTAAAAGGAAGAAAAGGACGAAATGGACAAAAAGGACGAAAAGGGAAAAGGACTAAAAGGACGAAAGGACGAAAAGGGAAAAGGACTAAAAGCACGAAAGGGACGAAAAGGACGAAAAAGGACGAAGGAGGGGGGAGGAGGAGGGGGAAGGAGGAGGGAGAAGGAGGGGGGAGGAGGAAAGAGGAGGGAGGAGGATGGAGGGAGGAGGAAAGAGGAGGGAGGAGGATGGAGGGAGGAGGATGGAGGGGAGGCTGGAGGGAGGAGGATGGAGGGAGGAGAATGGAGGGAGGATGATGGAGGGAGAAGGATGGAGTGAGGAGGATGGAGGGAGGAGGATGGAGGGAGGAGGATTGAGGGAGGAGGATTGAGGGAGGAGGATTGAGGGAGGAGGATTGAGGGAGGAGGATGGAGAGAGGAGGATGGAGGGAGGAGGATGGAGGGAGGAGGACTGAGGAGGAGGACTGATCAGGAGGGGTGAGGAGGAGGACGAAAAAAGAAGAGGACGAAAAGGACGAAATGGACGAAAAGGACGAAAAGGACGAACCCGACGAAAAGGACGATTTTTCCAATTTCTCGATTTATGAAGATTTTCATTTCTCAATATTTCATATTTTTCTGCGTCAAATTTTAACTCGAATTAGACTTTTCGGTTTATCGATTTCTGGAGTGATCGATTTTTCAATTTTTTAAATTGTAGAGTTTTCGAATTTTTCATGTTTCAATTGCCCAATCTTTGGATTTTTCCACTTTTCGGTATTAGATTTTTCGATTTTTTAATTTTTCGATTTGTAGAATTTTTGATTTTCAGATTTATCAATTTTATTAATCGTTCAAGTTTTAATTTTTCTGTTTTTCGATTTTAGGCTGTTTAAAGTTTTCGATTTTTCGAATTTTCGGTTTTACAATTTTCGATTTTCTAATTTTTCGATATTTTCGATTTCTCGATTTCTCGTTTCTTTATTTTTCAGTTTTTTGACTTTACGAGTAATTCATATTTCGATTTCCCGGTTTTTAAATTTTTTATTTTTTCAATTTTTCGATTTTTTAAATTTTCGATTTCTGGACATCTCAGTTTTTCGATTTTAAATAAAGTTTTTGATTTCTCAATTTTTCATCATTTAATTTTTGGGAATTATTCAATTTTTTAAATTTTAGGTTTTTTGATGTTTCAATTGTTCAATCTAGTAATAAGTAAATAATAATTTTCTACCAATTTTTTTTAGACCATGATATATGAAAACTTCAGGTGGCTGATAAACAAATCAGAATTATCCATAATCTCCTAAGTATATTTAAAAAAATTCAAGGGTTGATTTTTCAGCTATTATATCAACATTTATTTTTATTTCTGTATTAGTAATATTAAAGATAAGAAAACTGCTTAACTGATAACTTTTAGGTTATGTGTATACATATATATGTTAATAATAAAATTCAAGTATCCCAGTTTTTGTCGAGCAGTATATATTAGAACTATTGTAGTCACACTTTCATGATTGATCTTATTTTAGAACATCCAAACTATACATAGTAAGACACCCCACAAGCGTCACCAACAACCCCCATCCAAACTTCACCCCCCTGTAATCACCCTTCCCCATTTTTGCACCTCCAATGAACACTTGAACCTGAAAGAACGAGTCCTTCACCTGCATCAAATTTCCTCAAATCAAAGGCCTCTCGTCCCCCTCGAAACTTTACATTATCTCAAAGTGCCGAAATTCCATTACTACATGTTCCCCCTATCCATAAACACAGCAACCAATAATGCAGCCGCCCCCAACCGCACCCCTTCTCGAAATAACGACGAAAGCGCATAAACAACCCTACTCACCTGAACCTGTATCGTGGTGCTTTCGAAGGCATTGTACAGCATTGGCAGCACTTCAGTGCGAATATCGTCTCGCGGGGTTTTCTCTAATATTATGTGCAAATTTTCGAGAAGCGTGACGGTGGCTTGAACTGTTTTAGGAGCCGAGAACACGCTCCTGGAACAAATTTGTTTTTGTTATACTTATATTTGTATGGAAATTTCCTGAACGAGAGTAATGAGGGCTTAAAAGGATCGCGGCGCGATTTCCGCTTTGTGATGATTGTAATCTCGTGTCGGAAAAACGGCGAAAAGCAATGAAGCGCAGCGAGCTATCGCGAGCGACTCATACACGTCTCGGACGTTTGACGTAGAAATGAATTTTTAATTTGTGTGTAGAGATTTGCATAAACAAGGATAAATGTGTTCAAAGCGGGTTTAAAAAGGCATCGTGTTGCGATTCTGATGCCTGGAAGGGGCTGGAAACGAAATTAATCTTGCAAGGATTCAAAGAGAATCCAATTTTAGACTACCTATGTCAGCAGCTTGATAACGGTTATGATTAATAATTAAAGTGTCATTTTTTATTGATGTTCGGAAAGTTTTATGAGCGGATGGAATAGTCCGGGATTAAATGAGGAAGATGGTAAATCTGGATTTAATTGAGTGAGATTCAAGAGAACAAATTGTGGCAACTTTTATTCAGTTTTATGTTTTATTAAATATTGGGGCCGTTCTATAAATAATTACCTTAATTAATCAAGTTCCGCAGTTAGTTTATCGGCTTTGATGTCATCTGCTTAGAAGTTTTTTGCCGAGAGGAAGTAGTTAATGAAATTTCATAAAAAGCTTTTAGCACGTATTTTCTCATACTTTAAGGTCCTTTAACTAATGACCGAGATAAGATTTTCGAGTTCTTTCGTCATGTATTCATAATATTCTCAAAAGGTTTGTCAACGACGAGATCTTTAGTAAATTTTAGAAGTTCTCGTTTGGCAAGCAAACTTTATAAAATTTCATTAAGTGCTGATCTTAGAAGAATAATCCGCTTTGGCAGGGTGTTGACTCTAATTTGTATTTTTTTTTTCAAAGTTCAAAATAATCATACCTAAAAAAGAACGCTTGGTGTTTAATGACGTTTATTTTTAACAAACTAACTTAAAACACTAATTAAAAAAATGTGTAAAATTTCAAACCTCCATCTTTAAATATGTCGGATTTGAGAAATCTAAACAGGAACATTTTTTGTTTACATAAAAACCCTTTGTATTTGATATTATTTTTCTTCTTGTCCAAATTTTTGAAAAAAAGGGTTCAAAAGAGGATGTTCAAGGTGAATTTTGTAATGCAAAATTCGTTGACGCCGACCGTTTAATATTAATTCGATTTTAATCGAAATCGTGGTTCATTCTATGTAGATCTCAAAAAATATTTCCGAGGTTACGGGTTCACCATTTCAAAACTGTTCAAGGTCCAGACTTCTGGTTTGTAAATCGGACGATATCATTTTTCTATAAATATAAAAAAATCAGGAAACTCGATACGTCAATTTTGAACAGGGATTCGTGTTCAGAATATTTGAATTAACAAATGAACCAATTTTGGAAAAGCTGGGAGACTCATGAACCCAGATATTTCAGATGGTCTAAATCCAAAATTTTGGCAATGGCAGAAAATAAGGTGAAGAAATGAAACTCTTCTAATCTACCTAAAATTCAGTTTGCAGTCGAATTTAGCAGTGGAGAATTTTTTCCCGTCATGAGTTTAATAATAATTGGGTTTTAATTAAAATCGTGGTTCATTTTGTGTCTCAAAAAATATTTTTCGAGTTTACGGGTTCACCATTTCAAAACGGTTCAAGATCCAGACTTCCGGTTTATACCATTGCATTTCTTGGAGTTTTTTGGTGGCAAAAAATGATTTCTAGGTGTTATAAATTAGTGGTTGAGGCTTGAGGGACCGATAAAGCGGACGATGTCATTTTTCTATAAGAAACATTACAAAAAAAAAATTAAAAAAAATTAGGTTGTTTCATAGGTCAATTTCGAACGCGGATTCGTATTCAGAATGTTTGAATTAGTTGATGAACCAATTTTCAAAAATCGGGGAGCCTGATTGACCGAGATATTTCAAATAGTCCAAATCCAAAATTTTGGTAATGGTAGACCATAAGGTGAAGAAATGAAACTCTTCCAATCTACCTAAAATTCAGTTTGCAGTCGAATTTTGCAGCGTAGAATTTTTTCTCATCATAAGTTTAAAAATAATTGGATTTTAATCGAAATCGTGGTTCATTTTTTATCTCAAAAAATATTTTTTGAGTTTACGGGTTCACCATTTCAAAACGGTTCAAGATCCAGACTTCCGGTTTGTACCATTGCATTCCTTGGAGTTTTTTGTTCGCAAAAAAGGATTTCTGGGTCTTATAAATTACTGGTTCAGGCTTGAGGGTTCGATAAGGCGGACGTTATCATTTTTCTATAAGGAACATTACAAAAAAAAAATTAAAAAAATTAGGTTGTTTCATAGGTCAATTTCGAACGCGGATTCGTATTCAGAATGTTTGAATTAGTTAATGAACCAATTTTCAAAAGTCTGGGAGTCTGATTGATCGAGATATTTCAAATAGTCTAAATCCAAAATTTTGGTAATGGCAGACAGTAAGGTGAAGAAATGAAAGTCTTCCAATCTACCTAAAATTCAGTTTGCAGTCGAATTTTGCAGTGGAGAATTTTTTCCCGTCATGAGTTTAATAATAATTGGATTTTAATTGAAATCGTGGTCCATTTTGTGTCTCAAAAAAAAAATTTTTGTGTTTACGGGTTCACCGTTTAAAAACGGTTCAAGATCCAGACTTCCGGTTTGTACCATTGCGTTCCTTGGAGTTTTTTGGTCGCAAAAAATGATTTCTAGGTGTTATAAATTAGTGGTTCAGGCCTTGAGTGACCAATAGAGGAGACGTTATCATTTTTCTACAAGAAGCATTACAAAAAAATAAAAAAAATTTGGTTGTTTCATAGGTCAATTTCGAACGCGGATTCGTATTCAGAATGTTTGAATTAGTTAATGCACCAATTTTCAAAAATCTGGGAGCCTGATTAACCGAGATATTCCATATAGTCTAAATTCAAAATTTTGGTAATGGCAGACAATAAGATGAAAAAATTAAACTCTTCCAATCCGTCTAAAATTGAATTTCAAGTAGAATTTGGCAGTCGAGAATTTTTGCGCGTCGTAAGTTTAATAATAGTTAAAATTTAATTGAAATCGTGGTTCATTTTGAATCTCAAAAAATATTTTTGTGTTCGCGGGTTCACCATTTTCAAAACGGTTCAAGATCCAGACCTCCAATTTATACCATTCAATTTTTTCGAGTTTTTTGGTCGCAGCGAATGATTTCCGGGTCTCATAAGTCAGTGGTTCAGGGTTGAGGACCGATAAAACGGACGATATCATTTTTCTATAAGTGACATCACATAAAAAAAATAAAATAAAAAAATGAGGAAGCTCCATAGGTCAATTTCGGCCAAGGAATCCTATTCCGAATGTTTGAGTTAGTAAATGAACCAATTTTCATAAAGCTGGGAGCCTGATTAATCGAGATATTTCAAATGATCCAAATCCAAAATTTTGGCAATGGTAGAAAATAAGGTCAAAATAATAAACTCTTTCAATTTGCATGAAATTCAGTTACCAGTCGAATTTTGCAGTGGAAAATTCTTTCCCATCATAAGTTTAATAAGAATTGAATTTTAGTTGAAATCGTGGTTCATTTTGTAACTCAAAAAATATTTTTCGAGTTTACGAATTTACGATTTCAAAATGATTCAAGATCCAGACTTCCGGTATGTCGCATTCAATTCCTTGGTGTCTTTCGGTCCCAACGAGTGAGTTCTTGGTTTTATAAGTTATAGGTTCAGAGTTGATAGACCGACAAAAAGACGATTTCATATTTCTATAGATGGTATCACGCAAAAAATAGAAGTAGAAAAAATCAAGAACCTCCATAGGTCAATTTTGAACACGGATTCGAGTTCAGAATGTTTAAATTAGTAAATGAACCAATTTTCAAAAAGCTGGGAGTCTGATTAACCGCGTTGTTTCAAATGTTCCAAATCCAAAATTTTGCCAATGGCAGAAAATAAGATGAAAAAATTAAACTCTTCCCATCTGCCTGCAATTGAATTTTTAGTCGAATTTTGCAGTGGAGAATTCTTTCCAATCATGAGTTTAACAAGATTTGGATTTTAATCGAAATCGTGGTTCATTTTGAATTTCAAAAATAGTTTTCGAGTTTACGGGTTCACAATTTCAAAACGGTTCAAAATCCAAAGCACTCGTTTGCACCATTCAATTGCTTGGACTTTTTTGGCCACAATGAATTATTTCTGGGTCTTATCAGCTGGTGGTTCAGGCTTGAGGGACCGATAAAGCAGACAATATCATTTTTCTATAAGTTATATCACACAAAAAAATAAATAAATAAAAAGATCAGGGAGTTCGATAGGTCAAAGTTGAACACGGATTCCTGTTCAGAATGTTTGAATTAATAAACGAACCAATTTTTGAAAAACTGGAAGCCTAATGAACCCAGATATTACAAATGGTCCAAATCCAAAATTTTGGCAATGGCAGAAAATAAGGTGAAAAAATGAAACACTTTCAATTCACTTTAAATTCAGTATGCAGTCGAATTTTGCAGTGGAGAATTCTTTTCCTATCACAGTTTTAATAATAATTGGATTTTAATTGAAATCGTGGTTCATTTTGAATCTCAAAAAGTTTTTTTCGAGTTTACGGGTTCACCATTTCAAAACGGTTCAAGATTCAGACTTCCGGTTTATACCAACCAATTCCTTGGGAGTTTTCTGGTCGCAGAAGTTGATCTCTGGGTCTAAGGAGTTAGTGGTTCAGGCTTGAGGAACCCATAAAGCGGACTATATCATTTTTCTATAAGTGACATCACACAAAAAAAAATAAAAAAAATCAGGAAATTCTATAGGTCAATTTCGAACACGGATTCGTGTTCAGAATGTTTGAGTCAATAAATGAACCAATTTTCAAAAAACTGGGACCCTGATTAATTGAGATATTTCAAATGGTCGAAATAAAAAAAAAAAGCAATGGCAGAAAATAAGGTGAAAAAATAAAATTCTTCGAATCGGCCTGAAATTCAGTTTCCAGTCGAATTTTGCAGTGGAGAATTCTTTCCCATCACAGTTTTAATAATAATTGGATTTTAATTGAAATCGTGGTTCATTTTGAATCTCAAAAAATATTTTTCGAGTTTACGGGTTCACCATTTCAAAACGGTTCAAAATCCAAACTTTCGGTTTGTATCATACTATTCCTCGGAGTTTTTTGGTCGCAATAAATGACTTCTAGCTCTTATAGGTTAGTGATTTAGGCTTGAGGGATCGATAAAGTGGACGATTTCATTTTTCTATAAGCGACATCACACAAAGAAAAAATAAAAAAAAACAGGACGCTCAATAAGTCAATTTCGAAGACAGATTCGTGTTCAGAATGTCTGAAATAGTAAACGAACCAATTTTCAAAAAACTGGGAGCTTGATTATCTAAGATATTTCAAATGGTCCAAATCCAAAATTTTGGCAATGGCAGAAAATTAGGTGAAAAAATGAAACACTTTCAATCGACTTGAAATTCAGTTTGCAGTCGAATTTTGCAGTGGAGAATTTTTTTCCGTCACAATTTTAATAATAATTGGATTTTAATTGAAATCGTGGTTCATTTTGAATCTCAAAAAATATTTTTCGAGTTTACGGGTTCACCATTTCAAAACGGTTCAAAATCCAAACTTTCGGTTTGTACCATACTATTCCTTGGAGTTTTTTGATCGCAACAATTAACTTCTATCTCTTATAGGTTAGTGATTTAGGCTTGAGAGATCGATAAAGTGGACGATTTCATTTTTCTATCAGTGAGATCACACAAAAAAAAAAATAGGAAGCTCAATAAGTCAATTTAGAACACAGATTCGTGTTCAGAATGTCTGAAATAGTAAACGAACCAATTTTCAAAAAACTGGGAGCTTGATTATCTAAGATATTTCGAATGGTCGAAATCCAAAATTTTGGCAATGGCAGAAAATTAGGTGAAAAAATGAAACACTTTCAATCGACTTGAAATTCAGTTTGCAGTCGAATTTTGCAGTGGAGAATTTTTTTCCGTCATAAGTTTAGTAATAATTGGATTTTAATCGAAAACGTGGTTCATTTTGAATCTCAAAAAATATTTTTCGAGTTTACGGGTTCACCATTTCGAAACGGTTCAAAATCCAAACTTTCGGTTTGTACCATACTATTCCTTGGAGTTTTGTCGTCGCAACAAATGACATCTAGCTCTTATAGGGTAGTGATTTAGGCTTGAGAGACCGGTAAAGTGGACGACTTCATTTTTCTGTAACATCACACAAAAAAAGAAATAAAAAAAAACAGGAAGCTCAATAAGTCAATTTCGAAGACAGATTCGTGTTCAGAATGTCTGAAATATTAAACGAACCAATTTTCAAAAAACTGGGAGCCTGATTAACTAAGATATTTCAAATGGTCGAAATCCAAAATTTTGGCAATGACAGAAACTAAGGTGAAAAAATGAAACACTTTCAATCGACTTGAAATTCAGTTTGCAGTCGAATTTTGCAGTGGAGAATTTTTTTCCGTCGTTAGTTTAATAATAATTGGATTTTAGTTGAAATTGTGGTTCATTTTGAATCTCAAAAAATAGTTTTCGAGTTTACGGGTTCACCATTTCAAAACGGTTCAAAATTCAAACTTTCGGTTTGTACCATACTATTCCTTGGAGTTTTGTCGTCGCAACAAATGACTTCTAGCTCTTATAGGTTAGTGATTTAGGCTTGAGAGATCGATAAAGTGGACGATTTCATTTTTCTATAAGTGACATCACACAAAAAAAAAATAAAAAAAAACAGGACGCTCAATAAGTCAATTTCGAAAACAGATTCGTGTTCAGAATGTCTGAAATAGTAAACGAACCAATTTTCAAAAAACTGGGAGCCTGATTAACTAAGATATTTCAAATGGTCGAAATCCAAAATTTTGGCAATGACAGAAACTAAGGTGAAAAAATGAAACACTTTCAATCGACTTGAAATTCAGTTTGCAGTCGAATTTTGCAGTGGAGAATTTTTTTCCGTCGTTAGTTTAATAATAATCGGATTTTAGTTGAAATTGTGGTTCATTTTGAATCTCAAAAAATTTTTTTCGAGTTTACGGGTTCACCATTTCAAAACGGTTCAAGATTCAGACTTCCGGTTTATACCAACCAATTCCTTGGAGTTTTTTGGTAGCAACAAATGACTTCTAGCTCTTATAGGTTAGTGATTTAGGCTTGAGAGATCGATAAAGTGGACGATTTCATTTTTCTATAAGTGACATCACACAAAAAAAAATTAAAAAAAAACAGGACGCTCAATAAGTCAATTTCGAAGACAGATTCGTGTTCAGAATGTCTGAAATAGTAAACGAACCAATTTTCAAAAAACTGGGAGCCTGATTAACTAAGATATTTCAAATTGTCGAAATCCAAAATTTTGGCAATGACAGAAACTAAGGTGAAAAAATGAAACACTTTCAATCGACTCGAAATTCAGTTTGCAGTCGAATTTTGCAGTGGAGAATTTTTTTCCGTCGTTAGTTTAATAATAATCGGATTTTAATTGAAATTGTGGTTCATTTTGAATCTCAAAAAATATTTTTCGAGTTTACGGGTTCACCATTTCAAAACGGTTCAAAATCCAAACTTTCGGTTTGTACCATACTATTCCTTGGAGTTTTGTCGTCGCAACAAATGACTTCTATCTCTTATAGGTTAGTGATTTAGGCTTGAGAGATCGATAAAGTGGACGATTCCATTTTTCTATAAGTGACATCACACAAAGAAAAAATAAAAAAAAAAGAGGACGCTCAATAAGTCAATTGCGAAGACAGATTCGTGTTCAGAATGTCTGAAATAGTAAACGAACCAATTTTCAAAAAACTGGGAGCCTGATTAACTAAGATATATATTTCAAATGATCGAAATCCAAAATTTTGGCAGTGGCAGAAAATAAGGTGAAAAAATGAAACACTTTCAATCCACTTGAAATTCAGTTTGCAGTCGAATTTTGCAGTGGAGAATTTTTTTCCGTTATAAAAGTCGTGGTTCATTCTAGATCTCAAAAATATTTTTGAGTTTACGGGTTCATCATTGCAAAACGGTTCAAAATGCAGACTTCCGGTCTCTACCATTGGAATCTTTGAAGTTTTTTAATCCAAATAAACGATTTTTGGCTTTTAAAATTTAGTGGTTCAGGCCTGAAAGACCAATAAAATGTAGGAGTAATAATTTAAATTAATTAAACGTATTTCATTGTATCTTTAATTTTGCTGAAACGTTTTAATTAAACGTTCAAACTTGATCATAACCATTATCATTATTCCGCTCGCCGTCATCAAGCTGACATTCTGGCCGAAACGACGATAACAGCCCGACCTTGACGGATTTTTTATTTGCTTAAGACAAATTTCTCTCTTTGCGGAAACTTTTATGTTGTATATTTTACCGTCCTTACGGAGATATCTTTCTCGGAAACTAACAGGTAGAGAAAACTTAAATTAACTTTCCGGGCAAGTTTTATTCAAGCGGATAGCTCGAAATAAGAAAAACTTTGTATATTTAAAAGCGGAATGACAACAACTAAACAATTAAAGTTATTATCACTTTCGCGTTTATAGTTTTTAATTATCAGTCTAGTCACGTTCACGTTCTTCTTGGATATCGTTTGTGGACCGTTCTGCTAACTGTTACGACGAAAATAAAATAAAAACTAACGACTGACTACCCTACTGTTAACCGTAATCGCGTTCGAATCAAATTTCCCGACCTCTCTTACCTGAAGGACGGAAGAATAATGGACTCGTATTCTTCAATGGTCGACTCCTGAATCAAGTACAGCACCGGCTGCAGGACCGCCGCCAGGACCTCCTGCGACCTCATTTCCTGCTGGAGCGAAGGCCACACGTGTTGGTACCAAAGTTTCTGCGGACAAACATCTTTTAATCAGTTGATTAAATCGGGCTTTAATTGCACTCTTCGAAGTGCACTATTATTCGATTCAGCGGTAAATCCTCTAACGGAAACACTCCGGGATTTCGTGTAACGGCAGGTTTACGCTTGAGCCGCTTCATCGTTTTTTACTCCACAAAGGAGCGAGGAAAATGTTCGGAAATCTTTGCGACATTCCTAGGGGGTGGAGTGTTGTAGGACGTGCGAGAAACAATACGCTGGGGCTAACTTTATTAATAGTGGAGTTGTGGGAAGTTTGATTTGTGGCAAGTGGGAGTTGAGTGGTTCTTCGGAGTTCTTGTTTATTTACCTTGGGTATGAAAGGCAAAGCTTCCTTCAGCGTATTCCTGTAAAAATGCGCCTTCTGCGTGGGGTCCTTCATGTTAATAACGTCGAGAAACTGCAGCGCGTGGACTGCAGGATCGCTGAAAACGTGAAACAATTCCTTTAGGGCGAACTTACTTGGTCGGAAAATTCGTAAATTAACTGGAGTAATTGGCACGGAAAATCACTTGTAAAAACAAAAGAACCCAAACAAACAGGGCTTCAAATTGTTTAAAAATTCATGATTGATTATATCGATCGTTCTTCATTGGTATGCGCCGGAAGCGTGACCTCTTTATCTTTCGAAGTGCACGTAAAAGCATAAAATATTTTCTCAAAATAAAAAACTTGGTAATGGTGTGATGTTTTCAACACATTACCATAGATTTTGCAAAACCACCCTTATTGACATTGGAGACCTCAAGCGCCAAATTTAAATAGTCGATGCCAATAAAAAAACTTGTTTCACTACAACTCGTCGCCTGAGAACTTGTTTGATTTACAGACCAGAGCGCCCTCAGGCCAATGTCGACTCTAAGCGTTCAGAAGCGATTTGGTTGGTTTAGACTATAATTATAAGTTTTTATAACGACTAAGTGAATATTTTTGGTACAGTTTTAGTTAACTAAGAATTAATTTTTTATTTGTGTTTTATACTAGCAAAACGTCTTAAACTAAGAATTTTGTTGAAATCGTAATAACCCAATGGATTTTTTTTTTTGGGGAAAACGTTTTGGAAACACTGTGTTCTATTTTGTATGAATTTTTTTTTAATGTTTTTGGTGACAGTTTTTGTGGTTGTTTTCGATAAACTGTATGGTATTAACAGTCAGAAAAAAAAATGAAAAATTAAAATAATCAAAAATTCGAATCATCGAGAAATCTAATAATCGAAAAATCGAAGAACTCAAAATCGAATAAATGTAAAATTTAAAATTAACCGAATTAGGCCAAAATCGAAAAATCGGAAAGTTAAAAATTGAACAATTTATAAATTGAGAAATTGACAATCAAAATATCGAAAAATCCAAATTTCGATAAATCGAGAAATCAAAAAACTTAACAATTCGAAAAATTGAAAAATTGAGAGACTGAAAGATCAAAGGAACGAGAAATCGAAAAGTGATGCAGTCGAAAAATCGAAAAATAAAGAAATCGACAAACAAAAAGTTAAAAGTTGAAAAATTGGAAAAAAGGAAAAATCAAAAAACAAGTCAAAAATAGAAAAGCTGAAGAATTGAAATATTGAAAAATCCTAAAACTGAAATATTTAAAAACTGAACAATCAAAAAATCAAAAAAGTGAAGTCGAAAAATAGAAACCTTAAAAAATTGAAAAACTGAAAAATCAAAAACCTGAAAACCCAAAAAATTAAAGAATTGAAGAACAGGAAAATCGAAACACTCGAATGTCAAGAAATAGGAAAAACAAAACATCGATTATTTGAAAAATCGGAAACTTGACAAAATGACAATTGAAAAACAGAAAATCTAAAACCGGGAAGTCGAAAAATCAAAAGATTAAGAAATCGAAACATTTGAAAAATTCGAAAACTTGAAAAATTGAAATATCGAAGAACTGAAATGAAAAATCGAGAAATTGAAAAATCTAAAATTTTAAAAATTAAAAAATCTAAAATTTAAAAATCGAAAAATTAAAAAAATCGACACATCGAAAACTCCAGGAGCCAAAAATCGAAAAGTCGACGAATCGAAATATCGAAAAATCCCAAAACTGAAAGATCGAAAAACACAAAAATGAAAGAAAAACTAAAAATGGGAAACTAAATCGGGAAATGAAAACATTGAAAAATCGAAAGATTAAGCAATCGAAAAAGTAAAAAAATCGACACATCGAAAACTCCAGGAGCCAAAAATCGAAAAGTCGGAAAATCAAAATATTGAAAAATCCGAAACTGAAATATCGAAAAACTGAAAAATGAAAGAAAACTGAAAAATGGAAAACCAGAAAAACCGAAAACAGAACCTAAAAAGTCGAAAAATTGAGCAATCAAAAAATTCAAAAGTGAAGTCGAAAAATCGAAACCTTAAAAAAATTAAAAAATCAAAAATCAAAAACCTGAAAAAAAATAAAAAATATATAGTCAAAAACCCGAAAAATCGAAAAATTAAAGAATTGAAGAATAGGAATATCGAAACCCTCGAAAGTCAATAAATGGGAAAATCAAAACATGGATTAATTGAAAAATCCGGGAAGTCAAAAATCAAAAGATTAAGAATTCGAAACATTTGAAAAATTCGAAAACTTGAAAAATTGAAATATCGAAGAACTGAAATGAAAAATCGAGAAATTGAAAAATCTAAAATTTTAAAAATTAAAAAATCTAAAATTTAAAAATCGAAAAAGTAAAAAAATCGACCCATCGAAAAATCCAGGAGTCAAAAATCGAAAAGTTGAAGAATCGAAATATCGAAAAATCCCAAAACTGAAAGATCGAAAAACACAAAAATGAAAGAAAAACTGAAAATGGGAAACTAAATCGGGAAATCAAAACATTGAAAAATCGAAAGATTAAGCAATCGAAAAATTGTAAAATCGAAAAAGTAAAAAAATCGACACATCTAAAACTCCAGGAGCCAAAAATCGAAAAGTCGAAGGATCAAAATATTGAAAAATCCCAAAACTGAAATATCGAAAAACTGAAAAATGAAATAGAAACTGATAAATGGAAAACCAGAAAAATCCGAAAACTGAAATATCCAAAAACTGAGAACCTAAAAAGTCGAAGAATTGAGTAATCAAAAAATTCAAAAAGTGAAGTCGAAAAATCGAAACCTTAAAAAAATTTAAAAATAAAAAATCAAAAACCTGGAAAATCGAAAAATTAAAGAATTGAAAAACAGGAATATCGAAACCCTCGAAAGTCAAGAAATGGGAAAATCAAAACATGGATTAATTGAAAAATCGAAAAATTGACAGTTTACAAATGTCAAATTTGAAAAATTGAAACATCGAAAATTTGAAAAAACGACATTAGAAAAACAGAAAATCTACAACCGGGAAGTCGAAAAATCGATTGATTAAGAAATCGAAATATTTGAAAAATTGAAATCTAAAATTTTAAAAATTAAAAAATCTAAAATTTAAAAATCGCAAAATTAAAAAATCGAAAAATCCAGGAGTAAAAAATTGAAAAATCGAAGAATCGAAAGATTGAAAAATCCCAAAACTGAAAAATGAAAAAAACTAAAAATGGGACAGTAAATCGGGAAATCAAAACATTGAAAAATCGAGAAATTTAAAACGACAATTGAAAACAGAAAATCTAAAACTGGGAAGTCGAAAAAACGAAAGATTAAGCAATGGAAAAACTGAAAAATCGAAAAAGTAAAAAAGTCGACATATCGAAAACTCCAGAAACCAAAAATCGAAAAGCCGAAGAATCAAAATATTGAAAAATCCCAAAACTGAAATATCTAAAAACTGAAAAATGGGAAACCAGAAAAATCCGAAAACTGAAATATCCAAAAACTGAGAACCTAAAATGTCGGAAAATTGAGCAATCGAAAAATCCAAAAAGTGAAGTCGAAAAAGCGAAACCTTAAAAAAATTAAAAAATAAAAAATTAAAAACCTGAAATCGAAAAATTAAAGAATTGGAAAACAGGAATACCGAAACCCCTGAAAGTCAATAAATGGGAAAATCAAAACATGGATTAATTGAAAAATCGAAAATTTGAAAAAACGACAATTGAAAAACAGAAAATCTAGAACCGGGAAATCGAAAAATCGATCGATTAAGAAATCTAAACATTTGAAAATATGAAATATGGAAGAGCTGAAATGAAAAATCGAGAAATCAAAAAATCTAAAATTTTAAATATTGAAAAATTAAAATACCAAAAAATTGAGAAATCTATAATTTAAAAATCGAAAAAGTAAAAAGTCGACACATCGAAAAATCCAGAAGTGAAAAAAATGCAAAATTCGAAGAACAGAAATATTGAAAAATCCCAAAGCTGAAATATCCAAAAACTGAGCATCTAAAGAATCGAAAAATTGAGAAATCGAAAAATCAAAAAAGTGAAGTCGAAACCTTAAAAAAATCGAAAAATTGAAAATCAAAGACCTGCAAAATCGTAGGATCGAAAAATTGAATAATAAGTAAACTGAAAAACCCCAAAACTGAAATGTCCAAAAACTCAGAAATAAAAAATTGAGAAACCGAGAAATCAAAAAAGTGAAGTTGAAAAATCGAAACCTGAAAAAATACAAAAATTCAAGAACCAAAAAACCTGAAAAATACAAATAAAATTTAAAAATCCTAAAATTGTGAAAAATGGAGATTTCAAAAAATTTGAACTGAAAATCTAAAAATCCCAATATAGAAAAAACGAAATAACAAAAATGGAAGAATCGAAAATTCGAAACTACGAAAATCTGAAAAATCGAAAAATTGAAGCATTGAGAAATGGAAAAATTCCCAAATTGAAATACTGCAAGGTCGAGGAATCGAAAACTTGAAAAACTGAGAAATCGAAACATTTTAAACATAAAAAAATAAGTCGGAAAATGTGAAAATTCGAAAAATTGAAAAAACGAGAAACCGAAACATCAAATAATTGAAAAAAATTTAAAAATAAAAAAAAAACAAAAATAGAAAAGCCGGAAAGTCGAAAAATTGAAACATCGAACAGTTGGAAAACTAAAACAAATCGAAAAATGAAACGTCGACAAATTGAAAATTTGAAAAATCGAGAAATGAATCAACTATTCTATATAAAAACGATAATCCGGGATATCGGAAAACTTTCGTTTTTTAAATTTGACACTTTTCTATTTTTAAATTTTTCAACTTTCAGTTTTATCAGTTTTTCAATTCCTGATGTTTCAATTTTTCAATTTCTCGGTTTTCAGTGTTTCGTTTACTCAATTTTGGGATTTTTGAATTTCTCGAATTTTCAAATTTTCGATTTCTCGATATTTTATTTTTCCCGTATTTCAGTTTTACGATTTTTCAGTTATTGGATTCCTCAATTTCAAAATCGAAACATCGAACAATTGGAAAACTAAAACATCCAGAAATCGAAAAAGTGCAAAATCGAAAAATTAGTATTTGTAAAAAAAAAAGAAAATCGAAACATCAACATCTCGATAAATTGAGAAATCAAAAAATTGAAAATTAAAAAAATTGAAAAATAAAAAAACAAGAAATCGGGAAGTCTTAAAATTCAAAATATCGAAAAATCTAAAAGTCGAAAAGTCCAGAAGTCCAAGACGAGACATCGAAAAATCAAAAAATGAAAAATCGTGGAACTGAAATATAAGAATTTAGAGAAATCTAAAAATAAAACATTGAGAAATTGGAAATTTTAAAAATCGAGAAATGGATCAAATATTCGAAAAAACGATCGGTAAACTTAAAATTAGAAAAATCTAAGAATCCAAAATCCGAAAAATGAAAAATCGAGATTTCAAAAAATCTGAACTGAAAACGCAACAATCACAATATAGAGAAAACGAAATAACCAAAATTTAAAATTTGAAAAATCGGAAAACCGAGAAATCGAAAAACCGAAAAATCTAAAATTAAAAAATCGAAAAATTGAAAAATGAAAAAATAGAAAAATCGAAACAGCAAAAGATCGAGAAATCGAAGTCGAGAAGTCGAAAAATTGATAAATCGAAATAGCCCAATATCGAAAAATAAAATTTGAAAAAAAAAATGAAAAATCGAAACATCAAAATCTCGATGAATCAAGAAATCGAAAAATTGATGAAACTGAAAAATAAAAAAACAGAAATCGAGAAATTTTAAATTTAAGAAATGAAAAAATTAAAATATCAAAAAATCAAAAACCTACAATCGAAAAATTAAAGAATTGATAATCTGAAGACCGAAGAATGGACATTGGGAAAAGCAAAATATCGAAAAATCTGAAAGTCGAAAAGTCCAGAAGTTGAAAAAAAAAGAAATGGAAAAATAAAATATCGAGAAATTGAAGAGAAAAACTGAAAACCGAGAAATTGAAAAATTGAGAAACCGGTTAGAATGTGTATCAGACGGATCATGGCTTATAAATCAAGTCGTTTCCGAACGCTTAGAGTCGACATTGGCCTGAGTGCGCTCTGGTTTACAGATCAAACAAGTTCTCAGACGACGAACTGTAATTCGTGTGACCTGAATTAAAGTGAAGGAAACAGTAAGCAGCTTGTAATATTCTGGGAAATCTCTGGTAAATCTAGTGTCAATTTGTCGAAACTTAAACGCGTCGTTAAAAATATAATTTTTTCTAGTTAATTTTATTCCTAGTTAGAAACAAACACTGTTGCCAACATAAGTCGAGGACTCCTCAACCGTCATTTAATTTAAACTATGACGCTTCTCTATGTTCTCTGACATTACCATAAATAACTCGAACGTTATTTGGGAGTGCACAGTGAAAGACTTCGGTGGTTATTATTATTCATTTACGTCAATATTGAGACTGAACGTTATTGTAAACTGTATGTGACGTGAGGAAATTAATAATTAAATAGCTCCATTTAGGATTCTGAATTATTTCGCCCTTATTACAAAACCATTAATAAATTTGATGTTGGTGGAGTTATAATCAGTTTTACTGACAATACTGACGTGCGGATATTTATAGAATTTCTGAAACGACCTTGTTCAAGAAATCTAATACCCTTGCACGAAAGAGTAGCTATTTTCTCAGTTGATTCTTTGTATTATGCATGAATTTTATGAATTGATGTTGCCAAGTCGGAAAATCCGTTAATTGATTGGAGACGCGTTTTTGTACGAAAGTCCGTGACCGCACTCTACATGTTTTATGTCGGTCATAAATTAATTGTTGGCATTTTACGAGTACTACCCTTGTACATTATCCTCCTAATACTCCCTTTATATCCACCTTACAAATTGTTTAATATTAAGCAGCCTCCACTTTGGCCCATTTTTCAAAGACCGTTATAAATAATAAACAATTTATGGCGTGCTCTTAAATCCGGTTTTTTCGATCCGCAAAAGTGACAGCCGTAATACATTATTTATGAGAAAATTGCATTTCAGCAATAAAATAATTAAAACAGCGGATGTTTGCACTTCCGGGGCGAGTGTGTGGCGTGTTCCGGGAAAATTAACCTCATTTTCTCAAAAGCTTCAAGAGTTTGTGCTTTCAGGATATCCATTTAATTAATGTAGGGATTGTTCGCCACTTAATAGTCGAATTGAATTTGAGTTGGAGAGCAGTCGTAAAGTTTGGATCGGAATTTAATAGGTTTCTTAGTTTTTATTGATTGTGCGTAAGCTTGGCTTCCAATTAAAATGTCATCATTATGTAAAAAATTCTAACGTATTTATATTTTTTGTCCCTTTTAATTAAGTCACCAAAGGCGCTCACACTTGTTTGTGCACTCTGTGTGAATTTTAAGCTGATTAAACTTTTCAGACGCTATCTTTCCATCTAAAAGGCGTGAAATCCAGGCGAAAAGCGAGACACAATCATTTTAAATATTACACCGAATAAAGCGTAGCTTGAAAGCTCACCTGAAATATTTAATTAAGGTGAGAAGTTGCGCCGTAGGTCGTTGTCTAGTATCCTTACTCAACAACCTGACCGTTGCCTCCTGGAGCGGCAATGGGACTCTAGGCATAATATTGTGCACTTGATCTTCCAACTTGAACAAAATCCAACGCATTGGTACACAGCAGAAACCAAAAGAAAGACACCGAGATTGACCGCGCAAAACGCATGCATGAAATATAATAAATTCTAGGAAAAATCTTTAATGCTCGGACCAAACATAATCATTTCGAGCCTTCGGGGACCTCTACAATTCCATTTTCCGATTACCGTCGGGAGTGAGTAATAAAGCAGCAAAAGCTTTTGCCTAAGGGATGGGAGTTTAAACACGGGAATCCACAGGTCGCCCTGTTGATTAACTTCGTTTTATTGTTTTTGGGGAGGGTTATCGGCTACTATTATCGGTTTTAGAAAACACAAAAACGGTTTACTCACAAGTTCTAACTGCTTGAGGTACGCCGAACTAGAATTTCCCGCTTGGATAAGTGGTCTGCCTTGATTAAATATTGCACATATTACCATTCCTAAGGAGAACATGTCGCTGAGTATGCTGCAAATTGACTGAGTTTGGGTTTCTGGAGCTGGAAAAAACGATTCAAATTCAGATTAATGTTGTAAAAATTTCATATTTCATAATCGTAAAAAGAGGGGAAAATTAGGTCGACGCCACATGAATTTCGGATTTGTTATAAAGTGAGGGCTTACATGATTCTGTACCTACTGGTTCCGTCATCACAGCTAAAACTTACAAAAAACATTAAAGTTAATACACTTACTCAAATTTTAAAAGTTAGTACTCCTATTGCATAATTACACAAATATTCTAATGGATTTTCGTATGAAGTAGAACCAAATGGACAAAACCAAAATTTTAAGAAAAGTTGAAGAATTGTAAATATTTTTGAAATTCTAATTTCAACTCAAAAATAGAAAAAAGAAATAAGCTATAAAGAAAAAAGAATTGTTGTAGAAGTTGAAGAATAAAATAGCAGTTAGAAATTCTCTATTTAAAAAAATATTCAGAGGGAAAAACGTCAAACAATAAAATTAAAAATAATAGATGCTCATTAAAATTTGAGAAAAAGAAGAAAAAACAAAAACAAATTTTTGAAGTGAAATAAAGAAAGCGAAAAATGCTGTAAAAATATCCAAACAGAATTTAAAACAAATCAAAACAGATATCGTAGAAGAAACAAAATAATTCCCCGATATATACATCTGATACATTATTTTTGAAATTCAAGAAATAAGAAATGAAGAAAGCTAGAATTTAATATTTCGGTATTCAATTTAGTAGCTTTTTACTTTTTTTGTTTTTCCATTTTTCGATTTTTCAGATTTTTAGTTTTCCAGATTTCGATTTTTCGAATTTTAGATTTTCCAGGTTTCCATTTTTCAGTTTTTCGATTCTTCAATTTTCGAATTTTTGATTCGTAAGTTTTTTGATTTTTTATTTTCGAATTTTGAATGTTTCAGATTTTAAATTTATGATTCTTCACTTTTTGGATTTTTTATTTTCAATGTTTCCATCTAGCAATTTCTTATTTCTTCAGTTTCTAGGTAATTTAATTTTACGTTTTTTTTTTAATTTGTTGAAAGTTTAAAATTCTTCATGTCTTCAAATTTTGAGTTACCAACTTTTGAATTTTTCAAATTTCTCAATGTTAAGACTTTCAGGTTTTCGATTTTTCGGTCTATTAATTTTCATTTTTCCATTTTTCCATATCTCGATTTTCAATTTTTCGATATTTCTACGTATATTTCAGTTTTTGAATTTTCGTTCTTGAGTTTTACATTATTCGATTTATCATTTATCCAATCTCCAATTTTCGAAATTTTGATTTTTAAGTTTTTGATTTTTTATTTTCGAATTTTCAATATTTCAGTTTTTAAATTTTTGATTCTTCACTTTTGGATTTTCAAATTTTCAATTTTTCCATTTTTCAATTTTTCATTATTCAATTTTTCGCTTATACAGTTTTCAATTTTTGAATTTATTGAATCTTCACTTTATGGATTTTTTAATTTTCGATGTTTCAATATTCAAAATTCAAAATTTTTCGATTTTTCAGTTTTTGCATTTCCCATTTTTCAATTTTTCGATTTACAAATTCTCCGTTATGCGGTTTTCTATTTTTCAAATTTTCGGATTTCAATTTTTTAATTTTTCAAATTTTCCAATTTCCAGATTTCGATTATATAATTCTCCATTTTTCAATTTCTAAATTTGTCAAGTCTTCAGTTTTCGAATTTAATTTTACGTTTTTTTTTAATTTTTTGAAAGTTTGAAATTATTCATGTCTTCAAATCTTGAGTTTTCAACTTTGGAATTTTTCAAATTTCTCAATGTTAAGACTTTCAAGTTTTCGATTTTTCGGTCTATTAATTTTCATCTTTCGGTTTTTCCACATTTCGATTTTCCTTTATTATTACTATTATTACTAAGTTCGCATGTATTTGTATTTTTCTTCCCATAAGGACGTTAAATGTCTGTGGGAAAACAAACTACCATTATTATTATTAAGACCCACCACTGACCCGGAAATGACCGGCATTCAGGCAAGACTTATTATTATTATTATTATTATTATTATTATTCAATTTTTCGATATTTCTACTTATACTTCAGTTTTTAGATTTTCAAGTTTTTGATTTTTCCGTTCTTGTGTTTTGCATTATTCGATTTATCATTTATCCAATCTTCAATTTTCGAATTTTCAATATTTCAGTTTTAAAATTTTTGATTCTTCACTTTTGGATTTTCAAATTTTCGATTTTTCCATTTTTCAATTTTCCATTATTCAATTTTTCGCTTATACAGTTTTCAATTTTTGAATTTATTGACTATTCACTTGATGGATTTTTCAATTTTCGATGTTTCAATATTCAAAATTCAAAATTTTTCGATTCTTCAGTTTTTGCATTTCTCATTTTTCAATTGTTCGATTTACAAATTTTCCGTTATACAGTTTCTAATTTTTCAAATTTTCCAATTTCCAGATTTCCATTATATAATTCTCCACTTTTCAGTTTCTGAATGTGTCTTCAGATTTCGAATTTTTCAAATTTTCGATTTTAAATTTGAACAATTTTTCAATGATTCCATCTAGCAATTTCTTATTTCTTCAGTTTCTAGGTAATTTAATTTTACGTTTTTTTCTTAATTTTTTGAAAGTTTGAAATTCTTCATATCTTCAAATTTTGAGTTTTCAATTTTTGAATTTTTCAAATTTCTCACTGTTAAGACTTTCAAGTTTTCGATTTTTAGGTCTATTAATTTTCATTTTTCGATTTTTCGATATTTTGCTTTTCAATTTTTCGATATTTCTACATTTATTTCAATTTTTGAATTTTAAGTTTTTGATTTTTCCGTTTTTGAGTTTTAAATTATTCGATTTATCATTTATCCAATCTTCAATTTTCGAATTTTTGATTTTTTGATTTTTTATTTTCGAATATTCAATATTTCAGTTTTTGAATTTATTGAATCTTCACTTTATGGATTTATCAATTTTCGATGTTTCAATATTCAATTTTCAAAATTTTTGGATTCTTCAGTTTTTCAATTTTTCGATTTTCAAATTTTCGGTTTTCAATTTTTTAATTTTTCAAATTTTCCAGTTTCCAGATTTCGATTATATACTTAATTCTCCTCTTTTCAATTACTGAATTTGTCTTCAGATTTCGAATTTTTCAAATTTTCTATTTTAAATTTGAACAATTTTTCAATGTTTCCATCTAGCAATTTCTTATTTCTTCAGTTTCTAGGTAATTTAATTTTACGTTCTTTTTTTAATTTTTTGAAAGTTTGAAATTCTTCATGTCTTCAAATTTTGAGTTTTCAACTTTTGAATTTTTCAAAGTTCTCAATGTTAAGACTTTCAAGTTTTCGATTTTTAGGTCTATTCATTTGCATTTTTCGATTTTTCCATATTTTGCTTTCCAATTTTTCGATATCTCTACAGATATTTCAATTTTTGGATTTTAAGTTTTTGATTTTTCGGTTTTTGAGTTTTACATTATTCGATTTATCATTTATCCAATCTTCAATTTTCGAATTTTTGGTTCTTTGATTTTTTATTTTCGAATATTCAATATTTCAGTTTTTAAATTTTTGATTCTTCACTTTTGGATTTTCAAATTTTCAATTTTTCCATTTTTCAATTTTCCGTTATTCAATTTTTCGCTTATACAGTTTTCAGTTTTTGAATTTATTGAATCTTCACTTTATGGATTTTTCAATTTTCGATGTTTCAATATTTTTTTTTCAAAATTTTTCGATTCTTCAGTTTTTGCATTTTCCATTTTTCAATTTTTCGATTTTCAAATTTTCGGTTTTCAATTTTTTAATTTTTCAAATTTTCCAGTTTCCAGATTTTGATTATATACTTAATTCTCTACTTTTCAATTTCTGAATTTGTCTTCAGATTTCGAATTTTTCAAATTTTCGATTTTAAATTTGAACAATTTTTCAATGTTTCCATCTAGCAACTTCTTATTTCTTCAGTTTCTAGGTAATTTAATTTTACGTTTTTTTTTAATTTTTTGAAAGTTTGAAATTCTTCATGTCTTCAAATTTTGAGTTTTCAGCTCTTGAATTTTTCAAATTTCTCAATGTTAAGGCTTCCCAGTTTTCGATTTTTCGGTCTATTATTTTCATTTTTCGGTTTTTCAATATTTCGATTTTCAATTTTTCGATATTTCTACATTTATTTCAATTTTTAGATTTTCAAGTTTTTTATTTTTCCGTTCTTGTGTTTTACATTATTCGATTTATCATTTATCCAATCTTCAATTTTCGAATTTTTGATTCGTAAGTTTTTTGATTTTTTGTTTTCGAACTTTCAATATTTCAGTTTTTAAATTTTATATTCTTCACTTTTTGGATTTTCAAATTTTCGATTTTTCCATTTTTCAATTTTCCTTTATTCAATTTTTCGCTTATACAGTTTTCAATTTTTGAATTTATTGAATCTTCACTTTATGGATTTTTCAATTTTCGATGTTTCAAAATTCAATTTTCAAAATTTTCGTTTCTTCAGTTTTTGGATTTTCCATTTTTCAATTTTTCGATTCACAAATTCTTCGTTGCAGTTTTCTATTTTTCAAATTTTCGGTTTTTAATTTTTTAATTTTTCAAATTTTCCAATTTCCAGATTTCGATTATATAATTCTCCACTTTTCAATTTCTAAATTTCTCAAGTCTTCAGTTTTCGAATTTAATTTTACGTTTTTTTTTTAATTTTTTGAAAGTTTGAAATTCTTCATGTCTTCAAATTTTGAGTTTTCAACTTTAGAATTTTTCAAATTTCTCAATGTTAAGACTTTCAGGTTTTCGATTTTTGAATTTATTCAATCTTCACTTTATGGATTTTTCAATTTTCGATCTTTCAATATTCAATTTTCAAAATTTTTCTTTTCTTCAGTTTTTGCATTTTCCATTTTTCAATTTTTCGATTTTCAAATTTTCCGTTATGCAGTTTTCTATTTTTCAAATTTTCGGATTTAAATTTTTTAATTTTCCAATTTCCAGATTTCGATTATATAATTCACCAATTTTCAATTTCTGAATTTGTCAAGT